GACAAGCTTTTCCACGAGGCTGAGCAGTGCACTGTCTTCTCCGAGCCAGGAAGTGATGCGCAAGTTGAAGACCCAAGTTCCTCCAAGTTCATCAGGAGAGCCAGCATGACAAGGTATTCCAGGAGCAGCCCAAGAGAATCAGCAGCTCCCAACAGCTTCTCCCAACAGCTACCCTCACAGCATTTTGGGCAGCTTCTGTTCTGCATTTATGCTGCTGGCCACCACCCTCAGGCGGGCCTCCCGCACCCGGCATGCTAATTTAATTCAACTGGGTATAAGAAGTTACCCACCACTTAGCTACTCACCACAGATGGCTCTGAGGGGATACCAGAAATTGAGACCAGAGAGCTTGTGCTCTGCCACTAAGCTACACCCCAGTCCTTAGCACTTAAAAAATTGTAGTCAGGTGTGGTGGCCCATGTCTGCAGTCTCAGCACTTGGGAGGCTGAGGCCAGCCTGGGCTACACAGTCAGCACAAGACCAGCCTGGATTACATAGCGAGGCCGTCTCATAAAACCAAAGCATGTGTCCACTCTGTAACATACAGGGGTGGGGTGCAGCAGAGGCTTCGAGGCTTTGAAGTCAACATGGCATGGAGTTTACTGTCCCCGGGTGCAGGCAGGTGGGCAGTGGTAAGGCCGTCCCCCTAACTGAAGAGCACTGTGTCCCTTTCACAGAAACAGAAGGCAGGGGCCTCAGGCAGGAAGATGTTACAAACATCTGTGGTCAGTTTTCTGGCAGCTCAGTGAGTCACTGAGGCAACCAGTATAAATTCTTGGGTCTCCCAGATGGCCCGGAACCTAAGAACTTCCTTGTCTTGTCTTACATCCTCCACAACTTCCTACACTGCCAGTGAGCGCTATGCTGGTAGGGCTTCTACCAGCAGGCAGGCCAGGAGCTGGGAGAGCGGGGTCCACTTGAATCCTACACAATCATGCTATCAAAACCGATCTGCAGGGGCTGGTGAGATGGCTCAGTGGTCTAAAGCACCTACTTAGAACAAGCTTGGCAAAGCACAGGGACCGCGGTTCAAACCCCCAGCACCACATGCCAGCCCGCCCCGCCCCCTGGTGGGCTGAGCTGGCCACACACACACACACACACACACACACTAAATAAATTAAAAAAAAAAAAAAGATCTGCAGCAAAAACCCGAATTCTGCACCCCTCCTATGGGTGACTAGCACCCCTACCATCATCCAGAGAAGCCCCAGGGTTCTTCCTACAGAGAAAAGGCCAGCAGTACCCAGAATGGACATCTCACGGTCCCTTCAGGACCTGTCCCCACACAGGCCACAGAGGGATGAGCCACCTGTGTCCCTGCCCACAGGCAACTGCAGACACGCCCTACCCACCATCCGTGGGCCTGGAGCCACCAGAACAGGCCTGAAGAGCACTCACTGTGCCAGGCCAGGGCTTGAGTGCCATCCTTGGAGGGTCAGCCCGCAGTCCCTCCACACTGGGCACAGGAGCAGAGGGCTTTCCTCTGTGTGCCCAACTACATGGAGCTGGGTACACAAAGACGGAGCACTCCACGAGGCATGCTAGTGCACATCTGCAATCTCAGGACCCAGGAGGCTGGGGCAGGAGCATCAGCAGCCTGGACTACATGGTGAGGGCCCTCTGAAACACCAAATCCCCAAGCCAGGATTGAAAATCTGCCCCTTCATCACACAAGCCAAGTCCCAGTCTCAACTGAGACTGCATTAAGTCTCAAACTGAAGCCATCCAGTGTGTGCTGAGCACCACTGTACGTGTTGTAGCCACACTGCCCAAAGCACAGCCTCACCAGGGGCAGCGTCTGCGCAGACCTCGCTGTAGTGTAAAACCCACCCAAGGCTTGTGTGGCGCCACAGTGCCCCCTTGAGGTAGGGCATGGGATTGTGTAGCCTTGTGTTTAATTGGAAAAGCCCCAACACCACAAAAACCTAGGCTAGGGGCCGGGGAGATGGCTCAGTGGAATAAGCACTTCCCTGGCAAGCGCAAAGGTCTGAATTCAATCCCAGGTTCTGCCAAAAAAAAAAAACAAACCCCAAACAAAAACCTAGACTGCTTTATCATTAGAACTGCTCTAAGAGGATACCTAGATAAAGATGATATGGCACTCTGCTGGCCAAAGAATTAATTCCTATTGGTCACAGAACTGTCCAGTGAGTCACCCACACACCTAGGAAACTGCAGAATACCCAAACCCAGAGCAACTCCTGGACTGCCTGCCCGTTCTGTGGCTACCCCGAGGCCCACAGCCACGTGGCAGTGCAGTCTCCTTCCTTCACCTGTCAGCCACCTCCTAGCATTGGGGGAGGACATGCAACCTCAATCACTTTGGCAGCGGGCAGGGAGCAGCCTCTGCTCCCCCGTGTGACCCGCCATCCCCACAAGATGAAAAGATGCTCCCAGACCCGAAGTCACTGTCCACTCTGGGTCCCAAGGAGGAAATGTTCCCAGGGTGGCCACTGGTGAGCCCCCGCGGCCCTGTGGGTTGGGATGATGTGCGTTTTTATTAAATCCCGGAGAAGAATCTGAGACCACTGCATGTCAGCACAGAACCCCAGCCAGGTGCACTAGGACGACCACCTGCCTTCAGCTCCGTTGAAGCCTTTCCTTCATGCCTGGTGCTGCCCATGCCTGCTGGCCCTGTCCCCTATCTTATCTCCAGCAGCCACGCTCACCAATTCCCACAGGTATCTGACTGCAATTGCTCCACAGCTGTACTGTTGTTACCCTTTCCCTTCCAGAGGTCCTGGGGTTCAGATCAGAAAAGGCACAAGGTGGCGCCACAGCAGAACGAAAGGCTCCCTGCTTGGCAAGGCAGCGTGCATTCCGGTGTCAGCCTGAATATCTAACACCATCTCTGCTAAGTAATAACAGACTTCCATGAAATTCACATTAATGAAACAGGTGTGGGAGCCTGCCCATTAGCTCAGTTGTTTAAGTGCCTGCTTAGGCAAAGCAGTCAGGCTCACCATGCTGTGGTTCCATCCCCAGATCCTCATGCCTTACCAGACCTGCACATAAGGCATCCTCAGCCAGCTTAAAAAAAAAAAAAAAAAATCCTTCTAATGAAACAGGTAAACCTCAGAGACAAAACAGCAGTTCACAAGGCTCTCCCTGCTTCCTCTGGCACACAGCCAGCCTGCACCAAGCGGCTTTCCCCACGGTGGGTGAGGCATCCTCAGGAAGCTGCTGCTCAACCTTGCCTCTGGACCTGACCCTGAATCGACAGGGAGAAAAGGTTCCAGAGAGCTTCTGCACAGGGCCTGCACCACGCAGTGCTGCAGCAGGGCAGGGCTGGGCAGGGCAGTCACCGGGTCTCCTGGACACACCTTGCCTGTCACAGAGGACCCAGGCTGGGCCCAGCCGTAGGGCCCTGCACTTTTCTGCAGCCCCTCAGCACCGCCAGGCAGTGGGTGGAGAATGGGAAGAGCCAGAAATCTGAGGATCCACTACTCTTGCCTTGTGGCTTTTTACCAAGAAACTAGAACTTTTTGATCTGACAAAAGCCACGTGGGGACAACTGGTCTCTTCCTATCAAGGACATCCCAGGGGAGGCTGAGGCAGCAGACCTCAAAGTTACCCAAGCCCCATCCAGGAGAGCTAGGAAGTGCTCGGAAGGGAAGCTGTACATCGCTATCCTGGGACAGTGGCCTCCACAACAGGGAGGGAAGCTGGACACCATCACAGAGATTCCCCACTTACCCTGACACATGGCACTCCTTCCAACCTACAGCACATTGGCATGGGTGCTGAAATGACCAGTGGAAAAGACCTGATGGCCCCATCTCCAGGTCAGGCTGGCCATGGGCACGGGGCCACACATGTCCTCCCACTGCACAATGTCGGCCTGGCCCCAGGGAAGCCACAGGGACTGCTCTGGTGAGCAAGCTGCTGGCCTGGCATGACCTTACATGTCATCCACCCCTGCAGCCTGCTGCTTATTAACTGGCACGCAACCCCCAAGACAGAGACAGCCGCCTCACAAATAACATTCAAAGAACACCTGCGGAAGACGTCAAAGCCCAAGATCTTCAGCTTTCTTTCATCCACAGGAAGTGGAAAACCCACGCTCCAAACACATCCAGGATTCACAATTCTGGCAGAAGTGCGGCAGTGGGCGCAGACACTCCCAACCCCACAAACTCCATGTGCACCATCTCGGGCCAGAACACGCAAAGGAGCAGACTGTAGCAGGCCACTAGCTGGCCAGGCAGCCGCTGGAGACCGATTTTCTGAAAGGAAGCGCAGAGCCGTGCAAGACCAGCAGTGACTGTTTCCGGATTGTCACCAATGACGGAAACGCTGAAAAGAAGGCTTTCTAAGCAGGAAGTGTGTGAACAGAGACTCAGAACACACAGCTAAGCTGCACGGTGTTGCTAAGTTTATTCAAAGTTGGCCTCAGGCTTCATCCTAAAGAGAACCACAGCCTGCGTCCCGCTGTGAGCCCCCGTCAGGTGCTGAAAATCATCTTTGCCTCTGTGCCCCGCCGACCCAAATTTGGCACAGTGACATCACACGAAGTCAGAG